GGGGGAGCAGAGGCGGCCGGCGCCGACCCGGAGCCGCAGAAGGCGACACTCTTGCTCGCAGGGCTTGCTGCTCGTAAACCGTTGTGCTGGGCCTGTGTTGCGCGAGTGCTCTTAGCTATAGAGGGTGTGTGTTTTGGTTTGAGGAACCCACAACAATTTATTGTCGTTTAGACAATTATTCTCTCACCCAATGACGCCTCCCCACCTGGGAAAGGGTATTGGGGAAATACAAGGAAAGGAGAGGGTTGGAATATAAACAGATGTAATAGAATGAGACTAGATAATTAACATTAATAACACTAAACAACCAGTATTGATCCCGATACCAGTATAAAATGCCCAAGGACTATCCCCAGCCCATTCCATCGGTAGGGGCCGTGCGCTCCCCGCAGTGACAGCCCATGTGGGACACTGCCAGCGCTGCGGCTTCGGGAGGAAGGGACGGGCTCAGGGCTGCGGCACCGGGGCGAGGAGTTCTCGGGATGGCAGCCGTCACGGGAGAGAGAGGACTCCTCAGCAAACTTTCTCATTTCTTTGGAATGTGCCGTTCATGGTATGAACTAACCCTGTTGGCAGCTTGGGTCCAGTGCCCGGGTCTCGCTCCTCCTCATCCCCGCACCCGGCGAGCTCGAAAACACCGACACCTCGAAACTCGCACACCATCGCTGGCTGTGAAGTAATTATTTTCACAAATTCACAGTGGAGTCTTCTAAAAGTGTAGTTTTCCCCAAACACTAGAAGAGAAGTTACTCCTGTCCCTCAAACTGGGACAATGTGTTAATGGACAACAGGGGAGCGTTCAGAAGTACTCAACCCTGGCACTATGCGTGGAAGCTGGGGTGCATCTCTACCACCACACACGGGAGTCCTGCTCCAGCCAGAGGGGCCAGGGCTCTCCTAAAGCCCTGCAAAGCACCCCAACCGGGTGGCTGCTGGTCATGCTTGGAGCTCAGCCGCTGGAGTCTTCATCCAGGGGGGAAGGAGAAAAAGAAAAGAGACATCTCACAGAAGAGTTTAAACATGTGCTCTCCACGGCTGGCGAGAAGCACACTGGTGGGAAGGGTGTTTGCGGCCCATTTGGAGACGAGCAGGATGTTCAGGGCAGGACCTGACCCCCCCATGGACACGGCCAATGCCCCAGCACGGACCCCATCTCCTCCATCCCACCTCTCCTCCCTCCAGCGCCGCAGGGAGCGCCCGGTTGAGGACAAGGCTGCGTGTGTGGGGTGCTCCTCGCAATGCTTGGAGCCACAGGGGAAGCAATCCGCTCTGTCTTCTCCCTGGCCAGTTTAGAGCGTTATCCTTCCACAAAACATCCCAGCTGTGCTTGTAAGTCATTTAGCGGCATCCCACAGCGAGCTCTAACGAACGACATCGTATGGCTCCGCTTTTCTTAGGCCCATTAGCTGTCATTTCTACCAGGGCTGTTTCTGGCTATAAAGAAGGAGGAGGAGATGGGGCTGCTCACCATCCGTGGGGTGGCAGGAGGGGTAGTCCCAATTTATCCATTGATCCCTGGAAGAAAATAGGTATAAAGATACTACTTAATTACAAAAACTTATTATTACCCTAAAATTACATGAAATCTACTCAAAAAATCTGGAGAATGGTAACACCTCTCTAAGATTTTAGGGGACGATCTTGTTACTTTTCTGTAAGAACAACCCTATAAGATTCTTTAGGACTGGGTTATCACTCCTACAGTCACGTAAATCCACGATTGAGAAACCACCGTGACCTGCTAGAATGGATTTCAGAGACAAGGAAGCCGGAGCAGAGACAGAAAATAGGTCAAAAGACAGAAAATACATAAAAATAACTGGGTTTATGGGTACTGCTCACCCTGCGCGTCACTGACCTTTGTTTTAGAAGCTGGACAATAAAAATTAGTTGATAACACCTGAGCTTTGGTTTCTTCTTTCTGCCCTGCCAAATCTTCACCCCTCGCCCTGCCGCCCGCCCCCAGCCCGCCTTGCCCTGCGCCGCTCCCAGACAGCCCTCACGGCTCCCTGGCGCTGCCGGCCCGCTCTCCCTCTCCCCCAGCTGCTTCCTTGGCTCCCTCTGAGCCTTCGCAGTGAGCGGGGAGCCTCGCCGAGAACCCCGAACGCCGCAGAAAACCACCACATTCTTGGTTGGTTGCCCAAAGAAGTGCGTTAGCTCAACAAGAGAGCACAGTGCAAGGTTTGCTTCTGCTCCCGGTTACCCTGCGCTGAAGAAGCTGTGAACGACAGGGGCTCCACATGCTCCTTTGGCACACGGTCTATTCCAAAAAAAAGGAAAAAACTTTGGTTATAGAGGGCTGTTTCTTCCCTTTCCCAAAGGGAACCTTGGAAAGAGCATGAACCACCACTCTATACAGCGTTTAAGTACGGCAGTCTCTATGCACGATTTGGTAGAAGGGGGCGGGGGGGGAAAGCAGCAGCGTTTGAGACACAGACTGCACTCACAGCCTGCAGAGAACATCCCCGAAAGGGTGACAGCTTAAGCAGACAGGCAAACCTCCAACCACCGCGAGCTCCCAGGAGCAGGTGGGGACACAGGTAAAGGCTGGCCCAGCTCAGCCTTACCCTGAGCATGTCCCGCAAGAGCCACACGGTCCCACGGAGAGGGATCAACGTACAGCCACGCTGCCCAAATCCCCAGGAGCTGCCAGCTCTGGCAGTCAGGACTACACTGGGAAAAAAGCCCCGAGAAGGAGAAATGAGGACTTAAGAACTATTTTTGGCATTTTCCATTGAGTAGAGAGCACTGGGGCAGAGCGTGTGCACCGTGCCACAGCACATCCTCCACCATGGGCAACAATAGCAGAGGAACAAAGCAGTGACAGAAATTAACATCTTCAAGCTAAATTCATTGCGTAAAGCAGCTTTCTTGGGACTGACTAAAATAAAGGAACAATCCCAGTAAGCAGCAGCTCACGTGTCAAGGAACAATTGAAATAACCCTTGAGTAAGTCCTTCCCCGTGGTCCCTGCTCGTACCCCCAAAAAGGGGTACGAACATCTATTTAAAGTGAGCGTGTTTCAGCAGGGAAGAAAAGGAGGATGGAGAGGACATGGCACGATTTGATCTGCTGCCAGTGACAGACAGACAGCAGTACCTGGAAAGCGTAAGCCCTTATAGCCCTTACGCAAGCACGGATTATTAAAGGGGCAGGAGGTATAACAGCATTACAGCGTCAAAACATTAAGCTATTCAACGCAGTCAGACCGAAGTAACCGGGGTTCGTATTAAACCTATCACTTAGGGATGAAGCTCATCTTGAAATTCAGCTGCACGATGTTCAGCAACTTTTTTGGCACAGGTGTGTACGTCAGGATATAAAAAGCAGCAAAATGTACACTCTATACAAAGAACTTCAGTTTGGCGAAGCACTAAGACAGCTTTCAGTATATTTACCTCATCTTTGTATGAAGCGTTACCTCACTCATTGGAAAAATGCGAAATAAGGCAAGCCAACATAGATACCACTAAAACTTTGCAAAGAGGACAATAATTTTATTCCAGTGTTAAGTCATAAAACAGTGTGATAAAAATCAGACCTTTAACAATTGCTAAACTTTGTGCAAACACGTTAAGAACCTACGTACTTTCCTACTCAGCTAGAGACGTTCAAGTGAACGCAAGCCCAGGTGTTTACGATACTACAATCTTACCGGACAGAAGCGTACGAGCGCAGGCAGAGACCAAGGGTTTCGAGAACGCTTACATCGATAAAGGACTCGCCTACCCAAGAACAACTACATTTCTCTGTTCTGCGGTTCAGACTACTTTGATAAGAAAGCCTACTTCAATATCAATCCTTCTCCATCCGCAGTGGGAAGCCCAGCAAACCAAGAGAGCAAGATGGTTCCTGCATGAATATTTGGATATATCTTTCCATTAGCGATCTGCCAGCAACAGAATACTGCTGATTAAGTTACACAGTTCATCAATAACTAACACATGGCAGGGGAAAAAGACAACGGTTCTCTGGAAACCAGTAACACAGACATCCATTCTTTAGAGTTATAGTCTTACGATGCACAGAGACTTTAGGAGCAGAAATGCCATACGCATTACAATAAAAAAAGTTTCTTGAATGGACTCGAAGAGAACGAGGCTGTATTATACACACGTGGATGAGCTTTTCCCCACGCTGTCCTATGAGGTAGGTATACATCCCACCCATTTCACAGGAAAAGAAGAAGCACCATTGTTCAACAACTTGTTACAGTCGTATCACAAACAGTACAGGTTCCAATTTCCCAAGTAATTCCCTAACCCTACCGACTCAGAATCCTTTAGAGAGTTGCATAGATTAAAGAGCCTGTGTCAAGAGGGTAGAGCCACCAGTTACCAAATTTGGGAGAAACACCCATCACCTCTCCCCTTGGTCTCCCCGTAAAAAGAACACCTTAAGGGAAGTGACATGGAAGTAAAAACATTTTTTTGAATTCGGAGAAAATTGTATGGAGCTCTTTAAAATGAGATTTGGGTCAGGACTGCCGAAGTGAAAGCTGAGGCAACGGTTGCACCGACCTTTTTGTACCTTCACTCCACGCCGCCGAGTTCGCGACGAAGCCAGAGTGTTCTGACATCTCTACCGCGTTGTCACGGGCCGTGCAGGTTCGTCTGAGCACACAGGTCCTGAAGACGCCTCTTTATGTATGGAATCAAACCAAACCCTGGGGCTGCTCCATCTATCTCTAGCATTCCCTGTGGCGTAGCAGCTGGTAGGCGTCCTTCGGACAAGAGCAGCGGGGGGACCCAAACCTTTTCAAAGCACCCGTGCAACTCTGCAAGGAACACCTTTCTTCAACTAGAACACAACGCTGTAAGAGGTACAGCCGCACCTCTACACTTCTACTAAAATCCAGAATAAAACGCACAACAGAACAAGCTCATGAAAGTTTACAGAACTTAAATATTTATTTTTAAACCATTTAAAACCCCCCCCAACATTGAAATAAGCTTCATCTATAAACAGATTTACAAGACTAACAACTACAGAAGCTAGAGGAGCACTACAATTTGTTTCTGTGATGCAGTTATTTTGTAAAGCTTCAGATCAACTGTATTTACAACTTTTGCTGCTTTTACATTTATAAAAATATTTATTTAATCCATAACATTGTTTTCAAAAACTATTTCCAGACTTTTTTCTCAGATATAAATTCTAATCGAATTTCAGTTATATAGCAGATGAAAGTTTTAAACAGAAACATTTTTTTAAAATTAAAACAAGGAGTTAAAAGTAATTTTTTTTTTTTTTTTTTACAGTGTAGGCACCATTGAAAATAATTGTCCTTGGCATATCTAACCACCATCTCTTGCAAGTGTCCTTTATATAAAAACGATGTAATGGCAACATTTGACTAAAAATGCAGTATTTACTTGCACACCATTACTTTTTCAATATTTGGCAGATATATTTCAGATTCTTTAAAATGACTTTTGTGCAAAAACAAAATGTGCAGGTCTGAACGATAAAATAAACACACCCAGCCTTTATAAAAAATAAATTTACACCAACAGTTCCACAGCTAAGTACTGAAAAACAATCCCAGTTCAAAACTTCAGCATAATATACATACTGGGTTGAAAAAGGGAAAAAAAAAAAAAAAAAAAGAAGAGAAGGAATTACCCATCTAGCAGTACCATAAATATATAACTGAAAGCAACTTTATAGTCTTACCTACTTTTTATGAAAAAAAAAGAAAAAAAAAATCACTCCGTACTGCACAGTACTACCTTTTTGTGAAAGAATATCTATAACTCAGTTATTTGCATATTAACTGGTAAATACATATTTAAAATACACTTTCAGAAAATTATAAACAAATTATGCCGATGTACTGTATTTAATGTATCTAAGAACAAAACTGTGTATAAATATCTTACAGGAGAAACAACACCACCACACAGAACGCTGGTGTTACACTTATACCTGCTTGTGAGGTATGTATCATGCGACGCTCGGCTTCTCTGGCTCCCTTCCACCCAGGCATGTATACTCAGAGGAAAAAAATTAAATTAAGTTAAACTGGACTTCAGGTTTTGTCCATTATTGCCAAAAGCCCCACCCCCTCAACTGTATTGCTTTAAATTTTCCTACCACGATGATATAAGATTGAATTACTACTTCAAAACCTCTTCTAAAAGGTATTACATATACTGTACATCAGGATATACCTGTTGCTACATATCACCTGCAAACTATTGACATATTGCTCTCAAATATATTTAATCATAGAGCTGCCTAAAATACTGTACCAATTTAGAATTATAATAGATACTGTTGCAGGTTTATTTTTCAGGGCACGATAACTATTTGCTGGTTGAAGCAGGTGCTACAGCAATACCCTTGCCACTACGTTACATGTCTTGAATACGCTTGTGAAAAAGCTATTTTCTCTGAAGCTTGTTAGTGATTTACAAAAGTTTAACTCATGAATACAAAAGACCTGTACATCCCCATGTACAGGAACAAAACAGCATCAAAACAGACCATACTTGCACTTTCTATTAACTAAAGTAATGGTTATTTCTAAAAGCAAAACTGCACCTCAACATTTATCAGATTAAACAGGTGAAACTACAATATTAAAAGTTGTTCTTTACAAAATAATTTCCTGAAAATATAAAACCATGTGCACTGCCACAAAATAGTTGAGTAGGTTCTTTCAAATCCTCAATCACCATCAATATGTTGCAAAGATCCAAAAGGCACAAGGAGCTCATGAGCTAAGCACTGCCAAGCTTGAAGTAGTTTTGGTGGGTTTCACTGGGTCCATACGAAACAGCAGTCAATTATGTGAAGTTTCTTAGGATGAGTCATTAACAGAAAATCTACGGATAAAAAAAGGCAATCAAGAACTTTGTTAATTATATTGTTTCACCTTGGCAAACAGCACATAACTACTTTGGCATCACTGAACTAGATGCCTTCATCTCAACAGATCGTAAGAAAAAACCTCCTGAAGTGACATTCTCAAGAAAATACTCCCTAAAAGGATAATTTAAAGATTCTCCTACAACCTTACTTCCTATAAGTACGCTTACGACAAAATTGCAAGCTAAATTA